TTGTTCCTATGTAAAAAAGGAAAAAGGCAAGAGGTGCGTGTATGCTGTGTTTTCAGTTCTGAGCTTCTCAGCTGGAGAAATACACAGAGGTAACTCAGAGAAATAACCTTTTATAAAAAGAGTAGAGGTGGCTAATAAATTGCCGTCTTCCACATTTTCCACTACAGATTTCACTGAGACATTAGAGACTGGCCAAGTGCATCTCTATTTTGCTGAAAGGCTCATCATCTTTTTGCAAATACCTCAGGCTGTCTGTTTAATCCAGTTCCTGGACTTCTGGCATTGGGTCTGCAACAAAAGTCTCTGATATACAGCTTCACACTACTCTTCCTAAGAATGGTTACTCTGATTGCCTCCTCTGACTCCTTCACTTTCACCACCTGCCAAAACCTTTTACCTCAAATTCCTGTCTCTTTAGTTCTTCTGAGGCAACGCGTTAGAATAAATGGGCTTAGTGTTGTTCCTCCAGTGGAGAGGTACGCAGCTCTCTGAACCGACGGTCTTTTTTTCTTCGTATCTGCAACCAATCCCAACCTTTACTATCCCATTTTGTTCATAAAATATCGCTTTATAACACACAGACTTACCATATTCAGTAATTATTGCACCACAGACATATTTTGCTCTATCAGACTATCCTTCATCTTTATATACTGAGCAACTGAAAATAATTCCATCTATGCTTAGCTAACTCAGCATATTAAAAATAATGCGTTTCAAGCTACTATAGCATTGAGCATGACAGCAATTGGATTATTTCTCTGTGTTATGGAATGACATGCAATAAACGAGCAAGCCAGATCTCATCTGTTGTAGTTTTGGAACTTAAGAGAAGTAAATTTCAAGTACAGTGAATTTACTATGAAATATCCTTGGTAATACCATCTTAAACAGAGTGCTCACTGAAAAGGTCACTTACACATACATCCATTAAACTCCTCCCACAAAACAGAATCAACAAACCTTCCTGCCACTTTAAGCAATGTCAATAAATTCTTCCAAAAAATATCCAGACCTTGCAAAATCCTCCCTCACATCTGTTTCCAATCATCACTTCATAATTCAGGGTACATCTCCCATTCCGGAAACCATTTGGACTTCATATAAAAAGATAAGACTTCCTCCTGCCTGGCTCCTCCTGCCTGGCTCAGATATAGTTTATACCAAAGATTAATCAAACGCTATTCTAATTTATATAATGAACAAGGCAGATAAGTAGGTTTTGCAGACTCGAGGATCAGTGGTTTCTGGAAAGTAAGAATAACTAAATCAGGCAATGGGTAGATGCTTTGCAAGATTTTAGTAGGAGCAGCTGGAATGAACGCTTTCAAAAACTTGCCCATGACACTCACCTCTAGTGAGCTTTTGCTCCTGCTGACAGATGCGAGTAGCTTGATCTTCCTGAGATAACAGCCCTTTTCCCTTCCCTCAAATCTACTTTGGTTTCCTACTGCTAATGTTTTCTGGTCCCTCTAGAAGTTACAACCCCAGGCTCCCTCCCATTCAATACCTGTCACAAAATTCCTATACTTCTCTACTCTTTTTTCTTCATTCACATTTGTCTTCCTACAGTCTTCCCGCCTTTGTGCCACCACAAAGACCTTTCCTCCCCATGTTGCTTCCCCATCTCTCAGTGAAATGTCACCATCCAGATCTCTGTAAAGCAAGAAACGTATTTTATATGACACTACCTGAGGCCCAAAGTGCGTGATTCCTAAACCATGTTTCACATTCTTTTCTTCAATCAGCATTGTCCCCCACCAAACACCCTTGTTATTGAACACGGCAGTCGGAGCGATGTGCAACTTCTTGCTACTTTCATTACTTTTTTTCTTTTCTGAAAGTAGAGCTTACAAACCCTGCCTGCAAATCAGGGTACTCCGTGGTATTGAACTCAACAGATGATACAGAACAAGGCCAGCCAGAAAAGATGGTCCTTGTCTCTCTCTACTAAATAGCCAAAGTACAAATCCCGGTTTTGGAGCCGGATCATTCAGTTTTGCCTCAGGGATATTTGCACCATGGTGTGTCACAGTGCAGCTATGCCCTAAGTAAACTTTAAAAGACCATTGTACAGACTTGTGACAGGCAGACATAATAAAGAGACATAAAACACTTGAAAAGCCTTAATTGTCAAGAAAAAGAAGAGTTTGTTAAGGGCAATGTTTGAAAGAGAAATAATTTAATCCAAAAAAAGGCAAACCTGAGTCAGAATCTCCAGATAATATTTCTGGCAGTGGGATACGCCAGCATGGAAATCACCCTCCAAGGAGAGCAACAAAACCCTCCTCGTTTGGAATTTTAAGGCTCACGTAGACTGGGCACAGAGCAGAATCCAGGGAACAACATTAAATGCTATGAAAGGCTTACCCCGCTGCTAAATTCAGTGACAGAGAAATGAGCTGAAAGCTCTGGTGTTACTAAGGTACCTCTTATTCACAGCTCAACTGTCTTTTATGTTTACATTCATTACAGGATGCTGACGTGGTGTTTTCTTCTGTACTCTGATACGGTTTTTTAGCTGAAAAACACTAGTAAAGAGATTGAATTACTGACACAAATATTAATTGATTATTTGATATTATCATATTCTATGTTCATCACAGAAATAATTAAAACTATTTCCCTTCCTTCAAAAATGGGAGAGAAGAGACAGGCAAATGGGAAATTGCCTCCGAACCCCACAGAGAAATAACCGACACAGGCATTCGCCTCGGCAGTCCAGCTAGTCATGTGGCTGGCACATGGTCCTGAGCAGCCAAGTCTTCAATAAAGATAAAAGCATGAATAATTGCAGTCTACCTTCTCAGGTGCCACAGCAGTAGGCATTAGCCAGACTGAGCTCAAAGCCCTAGAATAATTAGCCTGAGTCGATGGTGGGCCAGCATTTGTCTGCCGTGATGACTTGACTGGGCTGGAGCTGCGTGGTCAAAAGCCACCTCTAAAGCTGTCCTCTGTAGATGCTCGTTCCAAATACTGAGGTTGAGTCCCAAGGGTGAATGCAGGGTAAAAAATAAAGACCAAGAAGTTAAGACAGAGGAGGATTTGGGACATCTCTCCTGATAACCTTTTTGCGTAGCTAGGGGAAAGCCACAGGACGGAATAATCGTATTCCATGGAAGAAGTTAAAAAGGCAAGAGCTGTAGCTACTGCTGGTCAGGAGAGCTACTGGATCAAGCAGCTGCAGTTGGAGCCGAAATTTTTCCTTCTCCAGTTCTTTTCGGTGATATTTTATGCAACGTTAAATTAAGGTCAGATAAAGGACACGTTAGTAACGTCCTTGCCAGTGAAAACCACAAGTTAACTATTAAATTATGTTTATTTACTTACTGTTTTATAAAAAGAGTTTCCCTTTGAAAGTCCATTTGAGGAACCTGTGAGACTGAACAATATTTGGACATAGCTCTGAATAGTTAATGGAAGTTCTCAGTGCTCTGTCTGAAACCAGTTGTGGTTCCCTTTCAGCACATTAGATGAATGTATACACTGGGAATATTTTACTTTGTTTTATGTTATTGCAATTTGCAAAAATTACACTAATAGCACAATTTCATGCAATTATCTGAATGCAAAACATTGTTCGGTTGAATTCCCATAGCCTAATCCTACTAGTTCCCTTGGCTGTCTCACTTTCAATTATGAACCAAGGTCTGCCCATCAGATGGAATGCTGCTATTGTAAAAATGGATCCTTTCTTTAAAAGTTATTTTCAGTGGTCTTCTGCTATACAGGCTGTTTTTATTGTCTGCAGCCAAAGGCACTAAGGAAATCTGATTTTAACATCACAGGCCTGCAATACGTATACTTTAGCTAGAGCAGTTTGTTGTGTTATTGTGGTAATAACCCAGTTATGTTTGCACCATAACTGTACCTCTAAATGTCTCCTGAGCTGCGCGTATGGGGCAAAGCCTGTCTTTATGAATACACAAGGGAAGGGGAAGAAAGAGGAAGGCCATACAGACAATTACATCCTCTTTTCCTTCCGCGTGTAACACAGCTAACACAGTTTTGGAAGGCAGGCGATGGATGATGTTAACACTACATTAATGCCAACTTGATGGTCAAGTCTGAGTGTTCAGAAATCATAAGGCTGGCTAGGGGATCATACATGTCTGGTTTCATATTTGCTTTTCCCTTTTTGCAGCCTTTACAGTTTGCATCTTCAAGTTTTACTCCATGATCCAAGAAAAAAAATTGAGCTTTTTTTCCTTTTTAAGTAAAGTCCAAGTTTTTATTAAATCGCATGACTCCAGGATCTAGGACTTAAAGTAAAATACCGAAGAAGTTGAGACTTATAAGAGTCAGTGACAATGTGCTAAGTTCCCCGAATTAAGTTAATGAATTAGCCTAGCCAACTGACCTCCCTCTCTGGAAGGAAGCACATTTCGTACTGTTGAAAAATGTGGATAACATCATACTGTTGAGTATACTTCCTTGAAGCTTCAGAGGGCTTGACTCCTGCTCTAATACATCCCTCTCTGTGTTCCTCTGAAATACCTATCCTGCATTTCCTCATTTGTGCCCAATGTACTGCATCCTTGATTGCTTACAGACCTCTCCCTTTTGGTAGGAGGAAACCATTCTTACATCAACTTTGGAAAGAACTCGCATTCCTTGACTCGACCAGGACAAATGTAATAGATCCTTTTTAACTGAAGTTACATGCATACATTTCTTTGAAAATCAGTCTCTAAGCACCATTCCCTTGTTGTGAATGGAAAGAAATAATACGCATTTCATTATAAGATAGGGCAGACAGCCTCTGGCCTTGCCTGGCTCTCTCCTTTGTCTACAGAGGAAGGCTTCGATAACTAGGTCCTTTCTTGTAGATGGATAACATCAGATGAAATGAATACCAACCTTGATGTCACGTTTTGGGTACCCATGAACCAAAATAATAAAATTAAATTCCTTTTCATTTTCGCTGCCTTAAATATCTTCCATCTTTTTTGCCCTAAAGGAACAGCTGCCTCTCCAGGCATTTATCTGACATCATTATTTAGGTCTCCAAATGACCTTCATCAAAGAAAAGGAACTGGAGACATGATATTTTGGATATTAGAAGGTGAAAAATAAGCACAAAAAGAGGGAAAAAACCAAGATTTTAAACAGGAGAGCAATAAAGAACAAACTCACCTTTTTTAGCTTTGCATTTCACCTAATACATACTAATTATATAGTCACACACCCAGATACACACACATAGATACCCCGTTACTAATTACCTTTAAGGGATACTTCAGAGGCAGGATTCTCCCATCTTATTTTGGTTGGCATGCTTTGTAGTAGCCCTTCTCATTGCATCTGAGAACATGGCCATTCTGGCATTTTACTTACACCGCATTTTATTTGTAAATATTAGTGCTAGCCCAGAAGGAAGTCTCAGGGAACACAAATTTCATTTTGTGCTATATGCCAGCCATCTCCATCACAGACACCAAAGAGTGAAAAATATATATTAGCTCCCTAAGGACCCTTTCATTTTCTTCGCCTGTTTTCTTAGAGCT